CCTCCAGCCTCAAGTTAATTCACAGTCCCCCAGCATCTCCCCTGTAAACCCCCTTCACAGGGTGGGTGGGCTAGCCTTAGCCCAAGCCTGGCCAAGCAGGGAGTCATGCTCTAGTTTTCCTCAGCTTCTGGGCTGGGCCATTGCAGGCATGTGGCTGTATATGCAGAATCAAAAGTGAATATCTGTTCACTTGCTTATTGGTTCAATCTACACAGTTTAGACCAGGGGTCTAAACTTTTCTAAATTGCGGACCAGCAAACTGTAGAACAGAAGTGACCATGGACTGGCAAACTGAGGACTGGCAAACTGCAGTCTGGAAGTGACCGGCATACTGTGGAGCAGCAGCCAACCCTTTTTTATACTGAGTATTATACTTTGCAGTATGTCGGTCACTTCCAGATTTCTGGTCCAGCAGCCAACCTCCTGCGGACCGGCAGCCAACCTATAGCAGACCATGGCCCAGGGTTTGGGAACCTTTGGCTTAGAGTAATCTGTGAAGATTGAATCGATTAAGCTTTGGGCTTTTTGACTGTCTATACTTAGCCATAAGTTATTGAGTTTTATTAGGGATTTTTTTAGCTGTCTTAACATCTTTTACTGCTTTTTTGAGTACATAAAAAGTAGGTTTTTTTAAAAAGAGATTTAAAACATTGATCTGACAATGCTATATTCTTCTTAGTCCACTAGAGGTCAGCAAACATTGTGTTGTATGATTGTTTCAGAATATGAAGAATAGTATTTTCCATGTTATATTTCCCTCTAATCTATTAGAAATTATATATGTCAAATTCTACTAGTTTATTTGTATTCCTGCATACATCTTATTCTTATTCACAACAGTGTCTTGTATATAAATATCTCCAGTTTTCTGAGATCCTGATCCTGAAGCATTGACATGGTATAAACACTGTAAATTAATTTGTATTTTTTTTAAGGTGCATGAACACTTTGACTTGCAAGTTGGTGATGACTTGAATTCCCAGGACCAAATTGTAAAACAATTTCTCCTTGAAGATGCTTTCAAATTTCTTTTACCCAATAAATCTTCAACTTCCAATTTCTTTGAAGTGTTAGAAAGCATGCACAAACTAAGTGTGAATAAGGTAAGAGGAGATTTTTTTAAGTGATTTAGTTATTATGATTTAACTGGAAATATGAAAATCTAAATGAAAACCTTTTCTTTTGTGGGCATTTCTGCTCTCCAGTAAAATTAAAATGTAGAACATCAAGTATGTCATGCTAGTCGGACCTGTATGTAGCCATGAGAAAGATTTAATGATACCATCTCTTATGGAATTTTCTTTTTTTTATTTTCTACCATTAAAACATCAAATTCTCAAAACTGCAATATTTTGAATTTTTACGTAAAGTAAAACTAGTGTTTTTTACCAGTGTGACAGTTTCCCCTAACATGATCTTTTATGATGAATTAGTCATGTAAAAAGTTTGCAAATGTAGAACTGATTTCAAATGATCAATGAAATTCAAAACCAGGACTATTTCAGCATGTCAACATTTTGCTATACACCTTTTCTATGCCCCTTTGTGGTGGTTGTATCCTCCTAGAGACTCTATTAGTCTCCTAGTTTCCTATATGAAACTAATACTGTGTAGCACACTGGGGAAGAGAAAGAGCTATCAGGAAGCTGTCTTTGCTTTCCCAGTTTTCTCTCCCCCGGCCTGGATGCAAACAAATTGGGATACAGTTTGTATTTGCTGGCTGTGATTCCCATGTACCACTTAAGAATAGACAAAGCCTCCTGCTCTCTATCCAGTCTACCAGCTAATCTGTCCATTCTTTTACAGGATGGAAACTTCCAGAAGGAACATAAGCAATGCCTGTCTTTGGCAGAAATCAATTCAATCGTTGATTTTGTAAAAGAGTTGAAGAATCTGGGCCATTTTGAGCTGGTAGTGTAAATAATTGTTATTGCCTTTTTAGAATATTATCATGTGAAAATCTCTTACAATTATTTTTGAAGGATGCTATGAAATGGCTAAGGTTAAGTGCTTATATGTTTGCAGGACCAGTCTTGCTACTTTAGCCTTGACGCCATGTGTGCGGGCAGCAAACAGGCTGATAAGGTACTGCCCGAAAGGATAAAGCAAACAAGCTGAAAAGATAAGGGTTATTTAGCTTGGTCCTGAGGGGTATTCGGTTAATCTTTTTAGAAATGAAAATAAGTGCAAGAAGAATATAACATAACAGAATTTCATTTCACTGACTGACTGTGAAGCTCATGGAAAAGATGAGTTTCAGTAAGGAGAGAATAGCAGCTTGGCAGATCAAATGTGAAGAGGATGTTGAGGGCAAAATAAAAGATGTGACAATGCTTCTGAGATAAGTAAATAAATATGGCACTGATGGTGGCATTCCTGAAGAAGTGGAGGCAAAAGATGGTGCAATTAATATATCAGGATCAGTAGTTACACAGCACCTTTTAATGATAATGACCAGAAATGGAGAAAGGAGTGTGAGCAGAGCGGTTGAATTAGTGTGATATGGTCAAAACAAAGCAGAATTATGGAAGCCAGGGAAAGGCGAATTATGTTCTAGATGGACTGGGGGAGGGAGTGGGGAAGGGGAAGGGGAAGACTATGAAAAAACAACACCACTTTAGATGTAATGGAAAGAAAGCAGGGTACCAAAGAGAGACATCTTTAGGGCCCATCTTTCAACCATGGCAGTATATGTGTATGCAATTTTTAGGAAGGGTTAGAATGCTGTTATTACCTCAAGCTGTGTCTGCTTCTGTCCAAGACCTGAGAAAAAGCAATTTGTCTGATGTCTTATCTAACTTTTCTCCCAAGTACAAAGTTGGTCTCATAAAAGATACCATGAAAAAATCCCTTACTCCTAGTAGTAGTAGCAGTTTATTTATGAATTTTACCAAAACAGTACAATAAAATCAGCAATAAAAATTGCATACATTAAAACAGTATACAATTCATAAAACAGCATACAATATACTGGTCTTACTAAGACACACAGACCATTTCACAAGCTTACACAAAATTAAAACAGGACATAGTGTATGATGATATAAAAGATAAAATAATATGAAGTAGTGAACAATAAAACAAAATAGGAAAACTCCATTTGATTTTGGCTCTTTTTCTTTGTGCAAGTAATGCATATATTCCTACAGAGTACAGGACAGGCTTCTAAATATTAGAGAGAAGCCAGATTATTTTACCTTCATTAGCTCAGTATTTGAAATTTCGCATTAATGGAGAGATCCATTTTCCTCTTATTTTTCAAAAAAAAGAAGACAAGGATTTAAACCATCAATCTCATTTTTCCCACAAGACTGTATTCTGTCAGAATATTGGGTCTGACACCATGAAGAGTGAATCTCAATTTAGGTACAGCATCTCGTTGTTTGTAGTTTTGCACCACAGTCAGACAGCTTTCTAGTAGGCCAAAGGAGTGTTTTATTAATCTAAAAAAAAAGTGTGTGCGCGGGGGTGGGGGGAGACGGGAAGTTTGAGATAATATCACTGCCAGCATATCTGTCTTCATGCTCACATCTTTGATTCTTAAATTGATGTCTTGTTTTAACCTGAGAGGAAATATTGGGTCAATGACTTTCAAGACATTTCTCAGGTCATTTGTTTGGAGGCTATAGAGCTGTTCAACCATTCAGACCAGGGTTTATTTGGCAAAGGAAAGGCTTCTAGAAGGTACTTCTTGGGTAGGCATAAAAGATCTAATTTTCATTCAGTAGGTTAGAATTCTTAATTGAACTGAGGTGCTCACCTTTATCAGTCTGGTTTCAGAGCGCATGAGTCCCTGTCATAAAATTAGGTAGAGATAAAAGCATCCTTTAAAGAGTAATTATAGATCTTTTTAGGTTTGGGGTGAACCATAAGGTCAGCACCCCAAAGTTCTCCTCCATGCAATAAAATGGACTCCACTTTGGATCTATAGATCTTTATTGCTTCAAGAAAACTCTTCTGCCTGTTTTATTGTAAAAAGATGATTTTGCTCCTGTATTTACACTTTCAATGTGCTTATCTCAGCTTGGATTATTGCTAAAGTAGATCCCACAGTATTTAAAAGAAGAAGCTACCTCTAGTATCTTTTTCCTGTAAATAACAATTTTGTTTCCTCCTTTCATTCCCAAAAAACAATACTTTGGTTTAAACTGTGTTGATTTCCAAGCTATTTAAGGTTCATTACTGCTGAAAAGCATCCTGTAATATTGGGAGGCTTATTTGGGATTGTGACATTATTAATGTATCACCTGTGTAAAGCAAAATGGGGATGGGGTGATTCAAAATCATGGATGCATGGAACTGATTCCCTATTAACACCTGTTTTAGATCATTCAAGAATAAATTAAAAAGTAGCAGATCAAGCAAACATCCTTGTCATACCCCTGTCTTTCTTGGGAAACTATTGGATAAGGCACTGCCAGTCCCATAACACACCCTAGATTCTGTGTTTGAATAGTAAAATGATTAATTGTAGGAGAGCCAGTTTCTTCCATAATTTTAAGCTCCCTTGAAAACTATGAAACTACATACAAATGCTTTTGTCTTTTTACTTATTTAGATGCTAAATAGTGCAGGACTAAGAAGTGGTCCCTACAGGAATAACCTTCTCTAAAACCAGTCTGCTTTTCTCCAAAAAGTATTATTTTTGGAGATCCAGTCTGCAGATAAGAAAGGAAATGTCTCCCAAGTATTTTGGCAGGAATACATGTAAGACTAATGGGGCAATATGATGCAGGATCTCTTATCACCATTTTAAAAAATTGGGTCTATTCTATTTTCATCCCAATGTTTTGGATAGTTTCATAGTTTCATAGTTTCTAGGGTCGGAAGGG